CCTAGACAACGAGGACTATGAGTGGAATATGTATCACACGGTTGCAAGCCACACAGGCCCAGATGTAAAATATTTGTATCCGATGAACTTGATGCATAATGCAGAACGCAGCGAGTGTGTTAAGTGGCGAACCGTAATGAATATACGAGGTGCGATCGTAAAGTTTCAAGACTGTGTCAATAGCGGGCGAACCGGATGTAGTACGAGCTTCTACCTTTAGGGGGTGCGGCCTACATTCATAGTGAATCAGTGGGCCAGCCGGCATCATCGAATTAGCATTTGTTTCTTAGTTACGGGCGTTTTGGTAGTGCATTACACCGACCCTCCTGCGATTTCGGAATGGCGTGTGCATCAAATTTTGCCAAAGACTCGCCAAAACGGCTACGGAAACCTATGAAATGCTAAAGCAAGCATTTGGGGAGTCCGCAATGGGTCGTGCACAAACTTTTGTGTGGCATTCACGTTTTAAAAATGGCCGAACCTCTGTCGATGATGACGAGCGTTCTGGACGACCATCTTCGAGCACAACGCCCGAAAATGTTACGAAGATTCGGCAGGCCATTCACGAAGATCGACGTCGTACCATCAACGACTTGTGCGACATTGTTGGGATAGGCTATGGGACCTGTCAGCTGATTCTAAAGGAAGAACTCCACATGCGACGCATCATGACAACGCGCCAGCGCACACCGCCCTCAAAGTTCGGCAGTTTTTGGCCTCAAACACCATGGCCGTCATCCCGCACCCTCCTTATTCGCCGTGTGACTTCTTCCTCTTCCCAAAGATAAAAATTCAGCTAAAGGGAAGGAGATTTGAGACGATAGAAGAGATTCAGGCAGAATCGCAGATGGTGCTTGACAGGCTGACAAAGAAAGATTTCCAAGGATGCTTCCAGGCTTGGCAGCGGCGCTGGGATCCTTGTGTTCACTCCCAGGGGAACTACTTCGAGGGTGATGGATGAATTTAATACCTGAGATAAGTGTACGGGTTTTTTATAGGCGCAGTCTTGAAACTTTCCGATCGCACCTCGTACAAGGTATAACTATAGCGTTTTAGAATAAGTCTTCATCTACTTTTATTAAATTACCCTGTATGTATAAATACATAAAACACAGCAGGCACTGAATTGTATTCTGGAGAAATTCGGTTCAAATTTCGGTTGTGTTGAACTAAGGTTTCTTATGGAATTCCTCTGTCTCGTCACGCAAATGCTGGGCGCGTACTGTTGAATAAGCCACAAACCCTTATTTCCAAATCTCTACCTACACACATTTCATGATAATAACATCTAATTCGGTGCTCTACTGATAAAACCTGCACCCGATAAAGTGTGCTTTAATAAACCAAGACTGAGTCAATTTAACAGTAAGACCTACCTATAAATTCAACACCGTAATGAAATATGTTCATTTAGTGGATACGTAAGGAAATCAATTTCAAAGTCTGAATTTTGTTACCAGTTCAAAAAATCACGTGATATAATATATATATATTCCGTTGATATAAATAAATGAGCGAGGCAGATCAGAAAGTGAAGTCACTTGGTAAGGATTAAATGGTATGTGTTTGATTCTCTGTAGTGGTAATCTTTTCTCTTTTCATCACCAATTCCTAGCGGGTATGGGTGTCGGTGCTTAAAATTGGTCACTCAATTTCATCTAATACCGAGGTCCAGAATTCATGGAGTTTACCTCCAGGTACCCAATACAATTTCATCGCGTGTTGTCTTAAGCAGGTATTTGTTTTTGATTTCAGGTACTGGTTATAATTAATGAACAGTATTAAAATTTCTATTTTTAACTAAAGTATTCTGAGAGGCACATCAGCGTACCAAAATCACACACAGCCGCGAAAGGCAGATTCAAAAATTAGCATACATTCCTGTGAGACATTCACATCCTCGAAGCGAAAGGACGAATGTTAAACTCGTGGCGAATGTGTACTTATAAGATTTGAGGTTCCCATGGTGATGAAATTTCCGACGTTGATCTTCTAGGTTGTGACGCCGTGTAGACTTGCAGGTAGATACCGACGTTTCGGAGGAACATGCTGACTTCGTGTGTAATTTGAGGTTTTCGCGGCTGTGAGAATGATGATAATGGTCTCGATTTTGGTGCCGTGTAAACTCGAATGTACGATGCGATGCGTCGCATGGGGAGTTCTTCCTTTAGAATCAGCTGACAGGTCCCATAGCCTATCCCAACAATGTCGCACAAGTCGTTGATGGTACGACGTCGATCTTCGTGAATGGCCTGCCGAATCTTCGTAACATTTTCGGGCGTTGTGCTCGAAGATGGTCGGCCAGAACGCTCGTCATCATCGACAGAGATTCAGCCATTTTTAAAACGTGAATGCCACACAAAAGTTGGTGCACGACCCATTGCGGACTCCCCAAATGCTTGCTGTAGCATTTCATAGGTTTCCGTAGCCGTTTTGGCAAGTCTTTGGCAAAATTTGATTTGTTCATGAAAATCCGCCATTCCGAAATCGCAGGAGTGTCGGTGTAATGCACTACCAAAACGCCCGTAACTAAGAAACAAATGCTAATTCGATGATGCCGGCTGGCACACTGATTCACTATGAATGTAGGCCGCACCCCCTAGCGGCAGAAACTCGTACTACATCCGGTTCGCCCTCTATTGACACAGTCTTGAAACTTTCCGATCGCACCTCGTAGGTGCCAATACTTCGGAGAAACACTGAGTTTTCACTTGTTATTTCGAAATGCTGGTATCTACCTATGAGTCTACATGGCGCCATAATCCTAAAGATGAATAAACATACTGCCTTCATCTTCAGGGCGTTACAATATTGAAGACCAACACTGACAACAAAAGAACGCTTAATTTTGGAAGCTGGACTGTAAAACGTCTATGAAAACCAACTTTTGTTCATAACTAATGGAATTGAGGGAATTCTTTTTCTTACACCGGGTTGGGGAACAAAGCGGGCTCGTTAAGATTACGCCAGTAGTTTAACAAAAGTTGTAAACTCCCTCATTAATGTATTCCTCGCCTGGCAGCAGCTTGCCTGCCCGGAGCATCAGCAGTTTCAAAGTGGAAAGAAATTACTTTTCTTTATGTTATAATTCATGAGTTAAGTTATTGCGAGCGTGAAGAGAAAATTAAACAGTAGGAAATCGGAGAAGAACGATCCAATGTGGCAAAACCTCTTCCTACGTAGAAGTATCAAGAAGGATAAAACATGCTCGCACATTAACGAATTTTTAATAAATATAAAGTGTAAATAGAAACGATTACAAGCAAGTTAGACTGTTACTTTACAGTCTACATTTACCTGTAATTGCCCTGATAATGGAGGCAATAACCGCATCTGAAACGTCAGTAAAATTGTATAAGACTACGCGGCAAAAATTCCAAAAGACTTTTTCTAGAACTCATTTATTTATGACTTACCTACGTTCTCAGTAGCTCTGACTGTTTTGCATATAAAGATTAATGAATAATAAATGAAAGAGATATGAAAGGAAATGGATACTGATCCACATATTTCGAAGAAAAACCTGTCAGACAACTGGCATCCTCGTTGACATTTAAAGCTGGAGACCACAGAATAGGGCGATAACTTACGGGGTGAAAGGCGCAGGTCCTGAGAAGAACATATCTAAACCAGTTTAGGGTCTGTACTCGATATTACGTGTGTTTATTATATTTCTGGTTGAATGTCAAGTTAATTTCGGGTGTAAACCAACATTTATCTTGTTCCTGGTCACGTAGTGCACTTGTTTCCGGTTTTAGAAACTAATTTGTCTGGTTTCTAATGTTGCATTGCAAAGAACACTTTCGAACGTAATGTGTGCTCTCGCTCATTAGTCAAAAATTTTCCTTGGTCCTGGGTGTTGCTGCTTCCCCATTGTTCGGCGCGAAGAGTTAAATTAAGGCTTGCATGCCGCGTGATGAGAAGGCAACGCCATCATATTTGAGGTCGGGGCTTCGCTATGTCTTTGTTGTTTCTTGTTGCATTACAGCAGACTCGGGGGGCAATGGGAGCGGTGTTGGGAGGAGGAGGGTTAGTGAGTGTTCATCAGAGAACTGCGTACTGTGGAAATGGACGAAGAATTTCTGCAGAACAGTGTTTCCAGGCCAGTCAACATCTCTATTAGCCTAATATAATAACCTAAACACAAATTATTGCTACAAAATTACGTTCCAGAATCTGAATTAGCACTAAAATACATGTTGAATTTATTGAACATTCAAAACTACACTTATCGATTTCTTAATTTTTAAATTTAACGAATTTGTGTCACCTACAGAGTGTACATATTAACCTAGATGAAAACTAGGTCATATTTAGAGTCGGCCTACGGTTTACGGTGGGTTTAATAACGGTCCCTCAATGTTACAGAACATCATGATGTTTTCCGTGGCAGAATGTTGGAGAAAAGGAAAGATTTTGCATGAATGTTCGAGGATTATGTAAACGATATTACGTATTGTGAGATCTGACGTTTTTGTGGCGGTGAAGGTGGCAATGTTGTTCTTGTGAGTTGTTACTCCTTTTGTAGACTAGTTGGTAGATACCAATGAATCGGGAAAAAAAAACAGAATGTCTCTATCTTCGGGGCTTTAGGGTTTCGGCCTTGAAGATGGAAGCAGCGTATCTTCTTCACAATAAGGAATCTGCTCCATAAGTGGAAGGAAAGCGAATATCATGGTAAATAACACAATGAGGAACATCATAATATTAGTGGATATACGATGGGCTGAGAATGCAGCTATAATAGAGGAGAGAAGGGATTTGAGTAGGAATTTGGTGGGGAAATCAGCTCTGAAAGACATAGGGAAAAGTACTGAGAAACTACGGACGTGGTGAGGGCGGATAGATGCGTATAACTAGCTCATTGCGTGTTCAGACGATGAGCATTGGTCATTGCAGAAGGCTTCGAGGGTGTTAATTATTTGTTTTCTGACAAATATCTCGTCTTACAATTTTGAAACACAACTGTAGTAACTGCCGGAAATACGTATGACACTTACCGCGTTCCAGAATGTAACCAAAGACGCTCTGCTCATCGTTCCGAGTTGTACAGTTCCAACGCTCGTTGCGGAACTGGTACTGGCACTCTATGATGCCTCTGCGCGCGCCATCGGACACCGAACGGATGGTGCTGGGATGCTGGAGACACACCTCGATCTGCTGGGAAACGAGGCCGGGCAGGGAACTGCAAACTGCCGTGGCGGCCGCCAGCTGTGGGTCCTCCTGGGGCTCATTGGACCCTGGGGCGGGCTGAGGTTGATGCTGCTGCAGCTGTGGCGTCACGCCCTCTAAGCCCAAATACCTGAAACACAAGTGTCTGCTATGAATCCAGGACCAATGGACTCCGCATTAAAATCTGAACGATCACAGAACGGAGACTTCGTCTCAATCCAGGTGAGTCCGTGCCAAAAGAATTTGAATTAAATTAGGAACAAAACCTTGCCGTTGCATTTTAAGGACGATATTATTCTTCCTTCTGCTACTCACATAATTATAAGCAGAGTGCTTTAGAATTCGCTGAATATGCGTGTTGAGTACGTCCAGTTTAATAGAATTCGTGCTGTAGAAACTTCGAGTGACTTGGGTGTGTAAATTAGATTGAATGGGATCAAGACACAAGTTACGTAAGCCCTATAGCTTATAGATAGACAGAAAATGACTTAATGCCATGTTCTACGGACCTCTCCATAAAGTGTAAAAATTTTGTTTTTTTTATTTATCGTAAAATGTAGATTCCACAGAGAAATAAGATTATGCTCTAAAATTAAAAGAGAATAATAATTAATTTTTAACTTCACAGGCATGTTGCTGTATTAAAATTAATTATTTATTACGTAATAAGTGTTGCCTTATGCGTTTTAGTGCAGCTTAAATTAGATTAATGCCCATTCCACTTAACTTTGATATTTGACGCTCAAGTCGGGCTCAACTAAGTGCCACTCTTTCAGACTCTAAAGCACGATTTATTGTCATTAAGCTGTAACTCGTCTGTACGGAAAGTGTTCAATAGCCTTTTATTGTTTAATAAAGAGAATTACGTGCCGTGTTTCTTGAGAATTATACAACCTGGAAAACCGTATACACAAGTTTATAGCCATTGTTCTTCACTACCAGTTTAAAATGAGAAGCATTACTATTGGACGACTGAGAACAATTTCTACCGCGTGGTGCTTCAGTAATTAAGGAGTAATTAGTACCGAAGTTGATCTTGTAGAATTATCAGCAGTAAAAATAATCATAAGTTAAAAGTACAGCTCAGGAAATTATATAAATAAGAGAAGCAACACTAGAAACTTAAACATAGAATTAACGAAAAAGAATAGATAATATGAGAACTAGCGATGGCAAAACAAGATTAAGAGAAACACAAGGGGAAATTTCGAACAAAGATCGACAAGAAATGGAAAAGAAATATATTAGTAACAAAAACAGTAAAAATAGAAATAAACAGAACCAAAGTTATTAAGACAGGTACAAATGCAAAAAAAGACATAAATAGAAGTCGCAGAGACAAATTAACAAACACATGTTAAATTGAAGATTTCCGTCTTCTGGGTTGTTGCGCTGTGTGGTCTGGTCGATGTTGATCGACGTTTCAGAGGTCATACTGCCTCCGTCATCAGGGCGCCCTGATGACAGAGGCAGTATGACCTCTGAAACGTTGGTAAACATCAACCAGACTACACAGCGCAACAACCCAGAAGACAGAAATCTTCATACTCTGATGACGGAGGCAGTATGACCTCTGAAACGTCGATAAACATCTACCAGACTACACAACGCAACAACCCAGAAGACAGAAATCTTCATATTTTAATCGCTCAAGTCTTACACATGTTAAATTGCTACAAGATGGCTCTCTTCCGGGTTGTGATTGCTTAATCCTTAAAAGCTGAATAAATTACAGAGATTAAAACACTTCTGGGTCATAGCATAAGTTTACTTGCAATTCTAAAATATAGGTCGTTATTATAAGTAAATTATTATGAGGATATAAAGCAGACTAGTACCTCGTATGTGCGTAGAATATATATGAATTCTAATTTAGTTCCGTGTTAATTCTTTGCGATACGGGATTTGAGGCTCTCGAGGTAGTCAACATGGCGATGTCCAAACGGCGTTACTGCCTGCAAGTTCAATAATGATATTTTTTGCTGATCAAAGCTTGTAGTAATAATTTTTCACCGATTCTACAATATATTAAGACAAACTGTATGACTTAAGATGTAACATTTCAAGTAAACTCTAAAAAAACCTCTGTTTCTACGTCTTATTTGGTGTCGGAACGGAGGACGCTGAAAACTAACATTTACGCCAAGCCGTCTGAGCGAAGATTTCTCGGAATGGGGTAAGAGAACTGTCGGTACAGTTCCAAGAAGTTATTTCGAGATCATCACGGATTTGTATGCTTTCCTTAGTACAGTGTGAGGACGATTGAGTTCTGACAGCACACATGTGGTGTCGGCTATGTTCACTCTACCAGGTTTATGGTAGGAATTCGAAACGGTTCAGACTCGACAGGCCGAAACACTTTTCAATTTAGGCACTTTTCCCCAGACATCTGTTAACATGATTGTGCAATGCCTCTTGTGGTTAAAGCCTTATCTCTAAACTATAATATAGACCTGTCTCTGATATATGAGTAGAGATAGCTTTCGGCTCTGAAGACGGAGGCACAATTTTTCTCAAAACATTGGTAACTACCTACACGTTTATAAGGCTTAACAACCCAGAAGGTAACCATGTTCATTTTCGTAGGGTTTGAGTCTGAAGATGGCTGTCTTCTGAGTTTTTGCGTTGTGTAATTTGATAGAAGTTTACCAGAGTTTCAGAGGTCCTTGCTAAATTCATTATCGCACTGATGATGAAGGCAGCAAGGGACTCTGAAACGTGGGTAAACTGCTACCTGATTACACGGCGTAACAACCTAGAAGACATCCAACTTCATGTTCGTCTTCACCTTCCTGAGAACCTCAAACATCATAGCAGCAATGCAAGTAAAACCTTGCGAACTGAATGGGAAGTAAAGGAATTGTGTACCTGCTTGTACCGTTAAATTTCCCTGGTATGTACCATCAGTTTTTGCCGGACAAAACAAATCAAACGGATTGCTGACCTCAGACTTTGTGTCCAAGGCTTACTATACGGTTCCTTCTCAGTTACAAATTCACTTGCAGTAGCCTGCGTCTTTGTTGTTATACCCAAAAATCAACTTAACTCCAAGGGAACAGAATCCGTGAGAAGCTAACAGTCGCTCAGTTAGTGAAGAAAGACCTATCATGCTGGTAGTTGCCCATTCTAATATCTTATTTGATAAGTTGATATAATTTGCGTCATATTGTGAATTAAAATTTAATTATCCGTGTTTTTTCCGTCTAATCACAATTGTATATAAATAAAATTTATACATAAGATATTAAAATATCATTTACATATTTGGTACATCTTTTTACTATATGTTTCGGTTACATTGAACCATCTTCAGGTGTAAAGTTAAAAGTTAAAATTATAAACTAAAACTTAATTACTGTTGTTGTGTGACTTCTGATGATGTTTACTGCCAAATTCATTGGAATGAGGGTATATTTTGAAGTGATAGTGGTTCAATATTGGCCTGTAACGTAAATAATTTAAAAAGATGTACCAAATATGTAAATGATATTTTAATATCTTATGTATAAATTTTATTTTATACAATTGTGATTAGACGGAAAAAACACGAATAATTAAATCTTATTTGATGTTAACAAAAGTCTTGTAGAGTTTATTCCGTCTACTAAACTTTCGCTATAATGTAAATAAAGATATATTTTTGGATAATATATATAACACGCAATATAAGTTAATACAAGTGAGCTCTTTTTTTCCCGAAAGAATCAGCTGTAACAATTTCGAACATCGCCGTTATGTCAATTTCTGTGAAGTCAGCAGAATAAGAGGTGCCACACACAAACACACATCAGGTGGCGTCAATCAAACAGATTTATAGAATATCTACGTCAACTGCGCTGAACCACGCTACAGACCGTTTATGTCTGTCTTGTACTAAAATAGTTTTAAACTCACATACTTCAATTACATGTTGTTATAAAGAAGAAACTGCAAATGTAGAAGATTTCAGAGCAGTTGAGGAATATGAAGAAGGCTGTCTTCTGGGTTGAGGCGCCGTGTAATTTGATAGAAGTTTACCAGAGTTTCAGAGGTCCCTGCTGCCTACCGGAAGACAGCTATCTTCGTACTCACCGATTTGAGAACCAGGAATCCTGTAAGTGGATTAATATGATTATCAAAGTTTGTAGATATTTCCAACGTTTAAAATAAACTTATAACGCGATTGAAACAAATAAGCCCCGAAAAGAAAGTGACTGAAAGTGAATTCATAGTCTCTTTAAAAAGTAAAAATTTAATAAAGTCTTCTCGGGATATCAGCCATGTTAGATGTTGATTAATCACCGACGTTTCGAGGACCATCTCTGTCCTCGAAACGTCTGCGATTAATCAACATCTAACACTGCTGATAGCTCGAGAAGACTTTATTATTGAAAGCCGCCGTGAAAGCTTCACATCATATATAAGTAGAAATTTGTTTTTTAAGTCACCTGGACATCACATGACATGCCAAGTGTTCTTAACGCAAGTACCACTGTTATTCGTGAACTTGGAAATATCGTGAGAATTCCTCATTATAAAACCACAACTAGGAATGAGAACGTTCTCCACCGCCTGAAACGTATTTGATTCACACGACGTTTCGGGAGTTGTATCTACTTTTATCTTAATGTGACTGCTAGTCATTATACTAAAACTACTCTTTCTCCGAGACCTACTTAATTGGTTTTGGAAGTTAGAGCTACTTCTGTCATCAGGTTACCTCTTGTAATAATTTGTTTCTTACCGTAGATGAAACAGATCGGCTCGAACGAAGGGAGTTTTGAACCAAATATGCTAATCACTGGTGGTATGAATTAGGCGTGGTTAATTTTAGGTTACTATTCCAAAACTGTTCGCCACGGTGGTCTAGCGGTCAGAACGCTGGCCTTGTAATCCTGGGGTCTCGGGTTCGATTCCCGGCGGTGCCCGAATTTATAACTTGTGTTGGGCAAGGCCGTGGTCTAGGCAACACGGAGTTTTCCTCCGGGGGCTTCCCCGGTTTCTCCGTGGCATCCCATTCACACACAGAAGAAGGCAATGGCAAACCACTTCTGGATCACCTGCCAAGAACGTATATGAACAGGTCCCAGTCCGAGAAAAGGATGGAAGGATCCTGTTCATATGGACCTGTCGTCAGACAGAACACTAAAT